GAAATGGATGATTCCCAACAAGGACAAGGTATCATTGCAGCCATGCACACATATCACCATTCATATCTGTAAGAAGTATGTGCTCAAGAAAGAATGCATCAACTAAATTTTTGGAATGTTGCTGGCCTTTTTCTGACCCTCTATCTTTGCTCAATTTAACTACTATAACATTGGTTAATGCTATATTCTGCTCTCGATAGAGGAGTAAACAACAGAAGCAGCATAAAGAAACTATTGAAGCAGTATAATTATATAAAAATATATGATTACCACAAATTTGAAAACATAGTAGCCTCTTCCCTTCGTTATCTTGTTGCCATGGATCTCAAACATTTTGCTCTTATCAGGCAGGCCTTCACGGAGAAGACATAGCATCGATTCAAACTGATTTCGATTCACGGAGTCTCCAACTAGCATAAGCCTCTTCCCTCTCAATCTTGTCAAGAAGTCTGTTGCATTAAACCTACGAGTGAAATGCGAATGCAGAAAAAGAACTGCATTTCTGATAAATATGTAACATTATTGAAAATAATGAGGCTCAGCATAATGTAGTTCGTATGTATCCAATGTGGCCAAAATCACTTTTGCTTAAATAGTCTGGAAAAAAGTGTCACACAGAGGAGAAGCTAGGATTTATTAGTGGCAATGAATAGTCCAAGTTAAATAAGTGAATAAACACACACATGCATATATTTACACATACAGATTAACTGAAGACAGACATCATTATCTATAACCATTATGCTTCCATCATAATTAAGTATTATCCTACCTCATTTCCAAGGACTTGGACTCCAATTTCATTCTTATATTAATGAATTTAAAGGAACGAGTAGTTTTAAGAACCTTGGTAAACTTCTGCTTGAATGATGGGAAAACATGATAAATTGTAAAACCAACGCAGAAGAAGGTGCTCTAGCATATAAAATTTCACTTACACCACCAAAAATGTCCATAAAAAAGAAGAGGAGAGAAAATAAGCACCGGGGGACTGAAGTTCTACTACACACATACTAGAATTATTAAGCATTAAACCAACAAACTCACTACTTACAGCAGCAATATACAAGTTTTAGTAACCGAGGAAATAGCAAAATAATCTTGCAGCAAGCCACTGAGGTTGGTAAGTAGACGAGAGAAACATATGGAAAGACAAATAAGGCACAAGATTGCAGAAGAAAGAATTGATTGCAAAAGCAACCAGCGATCTCCACTTCTATAAATAATATCACATTGCCTCAAAGGCCAAATTTTTGCAATATCTCCTAAATCATTGACATACAAGTACATTGTGCACCTAAATAGACTATAAAAACAATTATTACAAACAGAATAAGTAGAAGAAAAAAAAAGCACAAACCTTGGAAGATCACAATCATAAGGCTTCCAACGCCATTTAAGATAATCAGAATCTTTCCTTCCATTGCCTTGGCAATCAAAGGCCTCATCAACATAAGGACAAGAACCAGCTTCATAAATCGGATACTCTTCATCTTTCACCCAAGTACCCATATAAAGATCACAACTTTTCAAACTCTCCATCAACTTATCATCATCATTACCATTCAAATCCGCACCAGACTCCAAATTCCTATCTGGGTCCTTCTCGTTTTCACTAGAAACCTCCACATTTGTTGAGTTATCACTCGAACCCCCACCAGACTCAAAATCCCCATCTGGGTTGTCTTTCTCATTTTCAGCAGACACCTCCACTTTTGTTGAATCATCACCAGTTTTGGACTCAATAGTCTCATTTCGAGAAACGGGTTGGTGAGTCGCTGAGTCAACTGGTTGTTCGGAGTCAGGAAGGGTGAAATTGGGGGAGGAAGTGAGGGGGGCAGTAGCTGTTTGTGGAAAGAAATCTCTGTAGAAAGAGAGAGAGGGCTCAAGAGCTCGTTTGTTGAAGAGGAAAACTGTCAAAAGGAATGAGACAAGGAATACAGAGGTTATTACAGCGTTGCGGTTGTTGAAAGAAGAGGAATTTGCCATGGTTTTGTTTTGCTGGATTTGGAGAACATGTTCTGTTGTTTCTGTTCTGTTTTCTTGTTGACAGAGGAGAAAGATCAAAAAAGAAAAGAATAAACAGGAGGGATTTGTAGTTGAGAAGAGAATTTTTGCTCTGGGGTTGGGGAGTTTTCTGATGGCTCTAGCTCCTCGGGCTTGCAACTTTGCTGGGGAATTTTGTAGTTTGGGAATTAGCCCAAATGCTCTTATTCTCTCCTACAATTAATTTCTTTCGACCTTGACCAAGCAATTCATAATCTTATTTTATTTAAGTCGGGTTTTAATTTGAATTAAAAAAATTGATTTAACCAAACCAAGCTCAATCAGATTAATATCAAATAATTTTTTTAATATAAAAATAATATTATTTTAATAAAAACCAATTACTTTTTAGATTTAAGCATAAATTGATGAATTTATTTCCTTGAAAGTAAGTTATTTTAGTTAAGCTATTTAATTATAAAGTTTATGAAAATCTTATTTTTCAAAAATATGATTTTTGATGGTTAAAATGAATTTACCCAGTCATATTATGCATTAAAATCAAACACAACTAAGCTCTAGTCAATTATATCAAAAGATTTTATAGCATTTTAATTTTTCTCTTTAATCTCTCAATATCACCACCAACAACATTATTAGAAATAATTTCTTATGAAACAAATATATGTTTATAATTTCTCAATTTTCACCTTAAGTTTCTCTATCTAAATGGAAGTTTTGGGCTTCGAATCCTATATTATGATAAGAATAATAAAAAAAAATTGGTTTTACTTTAAAACAAATATATGTTTATAGTTTCAATTATACATAGTTCCTTGTAATGTAGGGAGATGAGATCAATTGAAGCCATAGGAATATGTTTACTCCTGCAACAAGAGTAAAGATATGGTCCAAGAAAACTATGATGACCTCAAGTTATTAGTGATTTTAATTAAACCCGGTTTAAATCTAGATCAAATCAAATATTTTTAATAAAAATTAATAATATTATTTTAATTAAAATAATTAATTTAAATTCACTTGATAATCAACTAATAAATCTCATAATTCAATAACCCATATTATTTCTTTAAGTTAAGCGTGATAGGGTACATGTCAAACATTTGATTTATTCTTATCAAGAATTTATTAATAAAATACGAAACGTGGCTAAATTATTATTGCCACAAACACTATATATTGTATTTTTTTAATTTTTATTTTTTAATTTAGTTTTTTTTCTCAATATAACTCTTTGAAAACCTAATTTTTTTAAATTTAATATATTTTTTAATTTTATTTTTAATATAAAGTTGTTTTAAGAATTATACTTTATAAATTTTTTAATTTTTTTATTGGGTTACATATTGATCTTACAAAATTATATTTTTTTTCTTGATTTTGACCTACAACATTAATTTTGTTGGAAGCGGTGTTTCATAATTTTTTCATAAATTTATCATGATTTTATTATCTAAATTATAAATTTAATGAGTTAATCTGAGTGGACTTGAATCGATTTTTTTTTATTGCCTTTTCTAATCAATTTTTATTTTATTTTATCATTTAACATTGAGTTAGTTGAAAATTGAACTTTATAAATATTTTTTATTTACTTTTTCTTAAGTTATCTTGATTTTATGACTTAGATTATGAGTTTGACAAATTGACTCAAGTTAATTCTATTTATTTGTCTAGTCCTTTCTAAATAAATATTTAAAAAAAAATCAGCTTTGTAATTTTTTTCATTAAGTTATCTCGATTGAGGTAATCTAAATCATGAGTTTGATAAGTTAATCTAAGTTGACTCGATTTATTTTTTAAAACTTTATAATTGAATATGTATTTTTGTTCAATTTCACTCCAACAATTCAATTTTTCTTTTCTTTTTTTGTTATGTAATTTTTCTTTTCAATGATAGGTTGTTTAGGAATTAACTTTCATAATTTTTTTATTTTTTATGTGGAATTATCCCGATCTCATGAATTAATTTTTTTCATGATTTTATCCTTCAACATTGATAGGTTGGAAATAGAGTTTAATAATTTTTTATTTATTTTTTATGAAATTATCCTGATTTTATGACCTACATGACAAGTTTAATAAGTTTGTTCAATTTAACTTGGTTATTTTTTATCTTCGATTTAATCTTTTAACATTAGATTAATTGGAAATAGAGTTTTATAATTTTTTTAATTTATTTTCTATAAGATTAATCTGATTTAACAGGTTAACCAAATTATTTTTTTCTTATTCTTTTTTAATTTAATATTTATTTTTTATTTATCCTCAAATTATAGGTTGATTAAAAATTTATTTTTATAATTTATCTTAATTGGTTTTCCATAAAGCTATCACAATATTACGATCTAAGTTATAAACTTTAAAAATCAACCCTAATTAATTTAATACATCATAATTTTAATATTTTTAAAAAATATCATCCTACACGATTTCTTATCTATTTTTTTTTAAATATCAACCAAAATATAATAAATCCAATGTGTGGATCCGAATTTCCTTTGAAGAAGAAGAATGGATGAAAAGAAAAGGTCTGAAGTGTGTTTAATGCAAAAGGCAGGGAGTCATAAAGTCTCAGCTGTTCTTGTCGTTATTACAGCCATAGCATAAGCAAACTAGCTAGCAGCAGGCTATCTAACTAAAAACCCACTAACCAAGCTAGCTAGCTAGCTTGCTAGTTTTCATCATTTATTCAATCAAGCACCTCCACCCATCCAAGCAGAAAATCGACTTGCCAGGAAAACAGAACCACAGGCATGGTCTAGTCAAAACAATCCATTAATATTTTCTCTTTTTTATTGTCAGCTTTTCTTCGTTTAGCTTTGCATGGCCAATCAGAGCACGTGCAAAAGCTCCATGGAAAAAAGAGAGAGAAAGGACTAGATATAGAGATATCTTCAAGCTCAGTGGACAGGTTTGGACTTCGGAGAGGGCTGGGTGTACGTAATTATAAGAACAGATTTCTCTTCTTTAATTTTATTTTTTTGAATTTTACACTTCCCAAATATGTCCTAGCTCCAATGGAATTGAAAGCAATTAATAAGGTTCGGTGAAGGTTCAGATCAAAGAGATGTTGATATGTCAAAGCTTTTCTTTACCTGTAAATCCAAGGTACCATATATAGTTAATGTCTCTGTATCACCTCTCACTCTCTCTATAAGCAGCAGCTCGGTCATTCTTTTCATGACCTCTTTCTCTCAACACTATTTCCATTCCTTTTGCCTCCTCTCCATTTCTCTCTTTTTGGTCACTTTTCAAGTATAAAATCCTTGTTCTTTTCAGGTTTTGTTCCAAAACTTTCTCTGAGGTTGAGAGAAGAGTTAATGCAATGAGAGTATTAGCTGTTCTTGTTATGGCACTATCCCTTCTGATTTTTGGATCTATTGGCCGGTCTGATGCAGTGCCAAAAACAACTTTTCTATCTCCTGTTGATGGTTCCAACAAGAAGAAAAGTTCATCAAATATGTCATCATCATCATCATCACTTGAAGCTGTCAACACCTTGTTCTCTAACTCCAGCAAGATCAAGAACATTACTTTGGATGAAATGAGAGTTGTTCCTACAGGTCCAAATCCTTTACACAACAGGTAGAAATAGAGGGTGTGAAGATTCAGTTTCTGTCCAAAAATCCTCAAGTATTTTCTCCATGCCTGATCAATTTGTTGGAGTAGAAATTAAATACAGATTTTATCGAACAAATCTTGCCTCACTTTCTTTTCTTTTTTCTTTTGTATTTTTTTTTTAGTCTGCTTAGTTCAATCTCTAAAGTTCAGTTATGTAAATGGTTGTCATGCTTGTTGATCAATGTAGTATCTGTGACCATACTTTGTTCAAAACCTTATTCACAACAACAACTACAAAAGTAAAAGTAGTAGATTTTTTAGCCAATTTTATTAATTGAAGATAATTATATGCCTTCTATTCTCTCCTTCCTTCCTTCGATTAAGTGCATGATAATATCATTTAACCTTCGAATGTATATATCAACATTGTCATTCCCCTTCTTAATGTGCTTAATTTTACCTCCAGTGACATAAAATGTTTTACCAGTTAAATTAATTAATTATTAATTACTCAATACCAATAAAACTAATCATTCTTATTTACCATTTAATGTTTTCCCACGAGAAAGAAGTAGGTAATGGGATTTATGCATAAAACCATTTTCGTAGTTATGGATTGGTTTGAACCTTAATTGGTGAAAGAAACCATATCAATTTCTGAATATTTATTTTTCCATTTTGCAAGTGTAAATCAGGTCAAGAGCATCAGCATACACACGGCCAAATCTTGGCAAATATATGTATACATGAAAATTAGACAAGAGAAAGGAACAGGATTTTTGGTGGGGCTTAAGGGAAAAGAAGTTCTTCAGTCTTGATTCGTTACCTGTATTGATTAGATATGTTTCCTGATTAGGGAAAATAGCATTAAAGTCGTGTCAGCAATCAGCATACTTAAATGCTACTATTTTTATATATTTCCCTTTGAGTTTCCTGTGGAGTGAGAGAATTTAATGGTGTTTACTGTTACAGCTACATGCAGTACGTCCCAGCCAGCATTAAATCAAGAATTAACTTTTTACCACAGAATTCATTTTTTTTTATCACTTTTGTCTTGTGGGCTGTTTTTTAGGTTAATTTTAGCTTGCGTCCCTCTCAAAAAGATATTCCAATCCAAGAGGGTAAGAATAGTGGGGGCTGATGGAGATCATATTGGGTTTCGTGCATGCAGATTGAGAACAAATTCACAGGCTCGGGGACTGGTGTTTTCTGGAAAATACTTTCTAAAAGTTTCTCTCTTTTTGTTTTTTCATGTGCAATCCATTTCAATATTTTTTTAGACAGTGAAGGAGAGAATTATTTGGTTATGATGGTGATGCTTCTGTTGTTCGCTTCCCCCTCGAGGCTGTGTTTTAATGTCAGGACACAAATCAAGATCAACTGATAATTGAGAGTACTACAGGGAGAAAGTGAAGAGTGGATTATATTGACCCATAGAGGTTGAAAAACCCAAAGTCTGTAAAGCAACTGCTAATTTAATGTCCTAAGAGGCTGAGAAAAAGAAAAGGTCAAACTTCAAAGACAATCCCAACTACTGGGATATTATCATTTCTGTATCGATTCTATTTTTAAATAATTTGAATTTTTCCATTGGGTTTTTATATTAAAATTCTGACCTCAACCATTGTTTTTTTATATAATAATATTTCCTAACAAAAATAAAAGAACAATTTAGATGAAATCCAGAATGTAAGGATATAAATTTGAGAATCGAGAAAGAAAATTAATATTTTCTTTTCTGGGGAGGATTAAAATTGGACTACATGTATACACTTCAGAGAGTAAAAAAAAAACAGTAGATTTATTTGTTAAGCAGAAAATGAAAAGGGAGCAAAGCTAGACTCCAAAAGGGAGTGACAAAATGGAAAGTGCAAGGTGTTGAGAGTCTTTACAAATATATAATGAAACTAGGCCTACACTAGCTATATTAGCTAAATGCTAGGCAACTGAGAAACACTGCAGGCCTAAACACTGCTCTGAGTAATGAACACTACACTTCGAAACAATAACATTCCAGCTTGCAAAGAGTTAGATTTTGAGCATCTGTTTTGACTTTCTTCCTGTCCTTCTTTTCTTCTGCTCCTTCTGACCAATTCTGTTAACATCTTTGTCCACACTATTGTAAATCCAATTTTTAGACAGCTAATTCTTGTATATAACTTCTTTCCCTCAAGAAACTGTAAATGCAGGCAGTCCACAGGCTGATTTGAGCCCAAATAATTCCAATCTCCTGCTCAGCACCGTTAATTCTCTATGTTCTTACCTTGACATGTAAACTAAGGGTTTTTTTAACTTGCATTATTTACATGAGGTGAAGTTCTTCACAAAAACTCAATAACAAAGTAAGATGCCAGCTCCACTGGTGTATCCAGAACTCCTTATGACTACCTTGACCAAATTTCATAACTAGCCAATTTAGCAGATATACAGTGAAAAGAAATAGAGAAGGGCAAAAGATTTCATCAGAAATCAATAAAAAGAGCCATGTCTAATGATCGATCTTCGCATCGCTCTGATCCTTAATTTTGTTGTCGAGGCAACGAAGGGGACTCGCTATGCAAAGGAGAAGAAAAAACCTCAGACATGGTATCCCATGATAGCTTTTCCTCCGTTTTACGCCTTCTTTCCAAGAATGCTGGCCTTATAGGTGTCCCGACCATTTCAACTTTGCATGTTAACAGAGCTACAATTTTGGACATTGGAGGCCTCAGGTTAGCAAGAGGCTGAAGGCATAAGAAAGCTACATTGATTACTTGCAAGACATCTTTCTCCATAAATCCATCTTCTCGCAATTTGGGATCTACCAGATCAATCACACTTGACCTCTCATATAATTTCCATGCCTGGGAAGAAACAATCTTGATGTCAGTAAAAAGGGTCTTGATAAAATTATTATAATTTTGAGAAAAGAAGGGAAAATGTTGATCAGATAGGGCAACGGCATACATATTCAGGAAGATATTGCATTTCTGATGGTAACCTAAGATCTGTGTTTTTCCTGCAGCTAATAATTTCAAGCATAAGCACTCCAAAGCTATAAATGTCTGCCTTTTCAGACAACTCCCCTCTGATGGCATACTCGGGAGCTGTGTAACCTCTGAACAAGAGATAGAGAGAAGTTACAAGGCATTAGGCCGGAACCGAATGCAATCTTAAATGTGAAATCTTGTAACGATCAATGGTTCCAAGAGTGTTCATTGATTGCTATATTTGAAGCATACTTACAAAGTTCCTGCAAATGTAGTGCTGAGATAAGCTTGATCTTCAGGGAAGAACCTAGCCAGCCCAAAATCACTAATCCTTGGCTGGAATTTCGCATCAAGAAGAATGTTGCTTGCTTTTATATCTCTGTGTACAATTCTTAGGTGTGAATCCTCATGTAGATATTGCAATCCTCGAGCAATGCCTAATATTATTTGGTATCTGGTGTCCCAATCCAGGAATTTATCACCATTCCCTGCAGCCGAAGAGAATTAAAGAACATGTCAAAATTCACTGAAAGGCTTAAAAAGTTGTTGTCGATTACTGTGTTTCATCCGATGTTACTGTCTATTTTCAGTTTTTCTTAACAAACAATTCACATGTAAGATGACATGTTACCATGTACTATGAGGTCCAAGCTCCTATTCTTCATGTATTCATACACGAGTAACCTTTGCGGACCATCTGAGCAACACCCAAGAAGTCGAACCAAGTTCTTGTGTTGGATGCTAGTAATCAGCTTCACCTCTGAAAGGAATTCTGATTCTCCTTGCTGAGATTTATCAAGAGACAATTTCTTGATTGCAACCAATCTACCGTCACTTAACTTCCCCTATAGAACAAGATAATGCATCATAAAAATCTTCACAGAACAGAATCTAAAAGTTTGGCTTCCAAGACTTCAAACTCAAACAATGTCTTGCCAGAAGAGACATTTCGGTTTACGAACAGTACCCGATAGACAGGCCCAAATCCACCTCTTCCGAGTAGATTACCAGGATGAAAATTCTTAGTTGCTTTCTTCAATGTCTGAAAGTCGAAATAGCTTGTCGTTTGGAGGCTACCACTCCAGAAATCCTTGGTTGCTGTAATTGGATGCAAATTATGAAAAATTACAACTTCTAAATTAACTTCATAATCTGGTAAACACTCAGCAGTTCTATTACCTGTCAGACTTCCATTTCTTTTCAGGGATTTCCTCAGTTTTTCTGGTTTGTTAAATTTCCATAAGACCAGGATAAGGATCAACAATATTACCAGCACAAGCATCCCTCCAATGACAAACAACAAGGCTGAAGAATTCTCTGATGAGGGGCTCTGTCTATGTAGCGTATTAGGTGCTGGAGGAGACACTGCATTCAATAGAATACAAGGCCAACTTCATTTTTTTCTTTTTGACAATTTATAGTGAAAACGACACTCCTACAACAGAAATTTCATTGGGATATTTATCATGAAAAAAACCCTTCGAAATTACAATAACATCACCAAAATTTTTATTTTAAAAAAAGCTAGTTCATTTTTCCTCTCCTCTTCTCCCTCCACCCAAATTATACATGTCAATAGCAATTTTCAAGTCTCCTCTTCCAAATTCTGAAAGGTAACTAAATTCAATAAATGGGAAAGACAGATAGCCACCCCGAACATCTCACAGGACACGCTGCACTCACATCATCACACAAGACGTTATGATTTTCCTTGGCCCTCTAAACGCTTTAGAATACACGTTTGTACAAAAAGACAGTCATAATTTGCAGTGAACATACCTTCTAGCGCTCGGCGTGCCATCCTTAACTGTCCAGACTTCAAAGCAGAAAGAAGGAAGAATAATTTTGTGATTCAAAATAATAGTTTAAGATGCTCTCTTGTAGATTTTCCTTTTCATTTGTTTGGTAAACTTGAAGGTTCAAGAGGGAGCATAAAAAGAATCGAAGGGAAGGGAATATGATACATTCGAAATCGTCTTGTGTACAATGAAAAGTTGAGACAAGGAGAAGGATCCATATGTTAACTTAGTAAACATTCCTTCCAATGTCTTCGATGGGAGTACAACGTCAGGCATGTTATTAACTTTGTCAACTCAGCCGACGGTTTACTTTTTCTTTCTTCTTTATTTTTTTATAAGGTACAAGCATGTATTAGTTTTTGAATAATATTGAAATTAAATCCCTCTTCCACTAGATTTAGAAATCATCAGTTGCATTCGTGAGAAATTATGTTGTTTGCAACTCTTGCCAATATGCAAAATTGCTCAATCTCTCTCTCTCTCTCTCTCTCTATATATATATATATATATATATAAAATTTATACGCGTCTTGCATTACAACATCTATTTGGATTACAAATTTAAGAACCATTTATAATTTAATCAAGAGTTATGATCCCCATAAAATAAAAATTTAAGGAGTTAACTTTACAAAGTTATATTATCTAGCTAGAATTGATTTAACAGGTTAAATCCATTCTTCATAAGCTTGAACTCGACCCTCAATCCATTGAAGTACATGTTATATTATCCATAATTAACTTTACCGTGTTATATTTATGTATCATGTTAGGATTGAGTTCAGGATGAGGATTACTAAGATGGTAGGCTAAATTATTTTCTCTTTTATAAAAAAGTAAAGAAAAAATATTTAAATACGATCGAGTCACGGTAAAGAATAAATTAATTTATTTTTTTAATTGAAATACAACTAAATTGGTAATGTTCAAAAAGGAAGAGAATTTTTTCTTCGAACTTATTTTCTTTTAAATTTACTGATTAAAAAGGATCAAAGATTTTATTTCTCATTGATTAAAGTAAAATTCTACAATAAAGA